GGGTGTGGGTGTGGGTGTGGGTGTGGGTGTGGGTGTGGGTGTGTGGATATCTTATCATCACACCCACACCCTATTTATTTATTTTTTTTTGAGATGAGAATAAGGTGAGAGGGGAATGAGGTTAGATAGTGATATTGAGATTGAGGAGGGTTAGGGTGAGACTTAGAAAAGTGAGTGTTAGTGGGGGACGGGGTGAGTTATATCCATTGAGGTTAGATCTCTGTTATCTATCAGGTCTTCCGGACTTAGACCTAAAACACCGGCCAGGAACTATCTTGGTGTCCGTGGCACACGACCGGGCCCCCCAGACTCATTGACATATCTCTCGAGTGGGAGAGATATGAATGATATGAGTCTGTCCCGTGCGTGGATAAGCATTACGCTCGCCACGGCGCCACCAGGATGGTTCCTGGTCGCGCGCGCGCGCGAATAGAATAAGCCATTCATTTCATCAATTCAATGCGATTTATTTGAAACGAAAGAAACGCAAAAAAATCTATCACGACGAGTCTATTCGATTGAAAAGCGTTGAACACGATGATTCCGCTCATCGACGACATAGAGATTGGCTTGTGGATCGAAGGACAAACCTATGGGATTCCCGAACTGATTTGCTTCTTCTCCATAACCATTTCCATCCACAATGACAGTGCCCTGTTTCGCTCCTTTAGGCCAACGCATCACTCGATTATTTCCCGCGTCTGTCACATAGATGGTGCCCAATGTATCGACGAACAGTCCTTGAGGATACGACAATTGTGTCAGAGCATTCTCTTGGCCTTAACCTCCAGCGACGACAATTCCTTCTTTTGCACATTTATTCCATTTCATCACACGATGATTGTTCTCGTCTGACACGTAGACAGTCTGTTGTTGATCGACAAAGATGAAGCTCGGAGAGTTGAGTTGATTGAGACCAGTACCGTTTCCATTGCCACCAGCCACTATAGTTCCATTCTTGTTTCCTATTTGATATCGTTTTACTTCATGTTTTCCGACGTCAGAGATGTAGAGATATCTCTGATCATCCATGGCCAATCCCAAACAACGGATGTTGTCGATGAGGACTTCTCCTTGAGTTGTGCCACTATGACGAGACCATCGTACGACTCGTCGATTCATGTAATCACAAATAATGAGACTATCCGTCTCTTTGTCGATCAACACATCAGTTGGATAAATCAATTCATCCAATCGATTTCCTTCGCCATTGGCACCAGCTACTACTTTCCCATTTGTATCACCCATCTTCCATTGGATGATACGATTATTGTCGGAGTCAGCGATAACCATCGTTTGATCATCATCAACGAAGAGACCTGCAGGCCCGGCGAGTTGCTTGGTAGCACTGCCTCGTCCATTACCTCCAGCAACAGTCGTCCCATTCTGTGCCCATCGGGCACCGGCTGGAATATTGGGAATTACTACAATGAACAAAAAAGAAAAGAGATCATCGTTATGGAAGAGATCCCCTCTCTAACGCGGGGGAAAGAGCTATGAAGGAGACATTCGTCTTCTTCGAAGAGAATTAGGTAAAACTTTCGACAATGTTCTTTCTGTAGATAAAAATTGAGAAGTCTTTTCCTAGTTTCCTATGAGAAAGAAAGGATTTCGTAACAATTCTTACATCTATGTCACTTTTAGTTTTTACCAAGATCTTTTTGACTCGAAAAACTACACCTGGAGATTGCTGTAAGGAGGTCCTCGAAGAAAGAGTAATGCTAATTCCATGTAAGGTTTTGATAGAAAAATATAGGTATCTGAGAATTTTTATTCGAAATTGCGAAAATTCAGAATTGTTTTTGCAGAATGATCATTTATATGAACATCAGAGACGGTTCTATCTGTATCTTAGGAAACCTTAAGGATACATGATTTTCTACATGAGACTTTTGGCAAGTTATGTCGAGGTGTTCGAAGGATGACTCTGATAGGATCTTAGCAAGATCATCAAACGGCTTGGATACAGGTGAAATGAAGGAAACATGATAGGATTCCACATGGATCTTTGGAGTCTGATGCCTTTTGCTTTTGAAATGCTGAAAAGGCCAATAGTAATCCTATCGAAGTTCTCTATAAGAAAGCACAGGAATTCAAGGGGGAAACAACTGATTTAAATCAGCTATAAACTCAAATTAAATCATCTAAATCACTTAAACTCAAATTAAATCATCTAAATCACGTTAACTCATTTTAAATCAAATAAATCACCTTAACTCAGTTTAAGTCACGTAAATCAACTTAACTCATTTGAACTCACTATAAATCATTTGAACTTAGCGATTCTAATTTAGGAACGAATTTTTACATCTTCAAAGTAGAATCAAAGTTGATAGTTTTATTTGACTAAATCGAGCAATTTTGAATATCTTTAGCTAAAAAAAACATTGTCATGTCTGTAAACGCTTGTTGAATATTCGTTTTGCACTATAGAGCGAAGAATATATTTCTTCCTTTGCGATTAATTTAGAAAACACGCGATTTGAATATTTCACTAAAGATAAAATACAAAATATTCTGACAAATAATTTTTCTGTCCGTCTGAAGAGAGTAGAATGAAACAGAAAAGAGGAAGAATTCTGCTTGTCTCGTGTATCCAACTGAACATACAGATGGAAAATGCTTACATTATCTTTCTCTCCTATCGTTCTTTAATTCGAATAAGCAGCCGTGACCAGTTTCGTCCTTGCTGAAGAGACTCATCAGATGGCATGTTCAAATTCATCATCACAATTTTAATACTGTATCTTCTATATTTTATAGAGTCTGATTGCAGTTTCATTATTATCTCTTTTTGAGATGGTGATTAGGCATGCACCGAGCCCGAGCTTCCCTGGTTCGGTTATTCCCGGTACCGAGATCCTGGGTTTAGTCATTCACATAATTATTCTAACAAACTCCTATTATATGAAGGTACCCTTAGGTCCTCAAGTCCTATTATATACAGGTACCCATAGGTCAGCAAAGAGGTGTAACAATCCTAATACTTCCAATAGCAATACGATTTGGTATTAGTGATATTGATAGTTTGCAAAGGAATATCAAAGTTGAAAATTTCGAAAAACTAACGGTGGATTCGAATTTCTCGATCCCGAAAGCCATTATTCAAACCTTATATACCACCACTGTTTTCGGAAAAAAGCCCTTTCTCGACGAAAAAATCAAGAACGTAAAGTATGGAAAGATTAATTTTATGTTCTTGATTTTTCGTCCAGGAACGGCTTTGTTTTTCGAAAATACGCATTTTTTATAAAGATTGATCAAAGTTTGGCGGCGTCGCGGAATTCAAATCTATAATGAGTTTTTCAAAAATACTCAAGTTTGTTTTTTCTTTGCACGCTACCAATACTACCAATGCCATTGGAAGTATTAGCATTGTTGCATCCCTATGCTGACCTAAGGGTACTTGTATATAATAGTTCTTGAGGACCCAAGGGTACCTTCATATAGTTGGAGATGAGGACCCAAGGGTACCTGTATATAATAGGATTCGAGGACCTAAGGGTACCTTCATATAGTAGGACATGAGGACCTAAGAGTACCTTCATATAATAAGACATGAGCACCCAAGGATATCTGTATATAGTAGGAGATGAGTACCCAACGGTACCTCTATATAGTAGAACTTGAGGACCAAATGGTACCTCTATATAACAAGAGAGGAGAACCTAAGAGTACCTGTATAGAATAGGAGATGAGGATCCAAGGGTACGTATATATAATAGGACTTGAAGACCCAAGGATACCTTCGTATAATAGGAGATGAGGACCTAAGGGTACATGTATATAATAGGATTTGACGACCTAAGAGTATCTTTGCATAATAGGAGATGAGGACCTA